TGTTTAACTTTTCAATTGTTTTATTTACCTCTGTGACACTGCTAGAATGAGTTGACTGGAGAGCAATATACCAATCCCTGATGACAGGCACAGCCAATCCAGGATAAAAGCAGAGCTTGTGGCAAAGCATTGCCAGACATTTTTAACAGGAATGCTACCACTGGCACATTCACAGCTGACGCAAACATCACTGACACCATCAAGCAAAAAATCAAAGATGAAGCAGGAAATTCTTGTCCCCTTTAGGTTTGCATTATTTTGAGTTATTATTACATGTACAGCTAGCATTGCATCAATATAACGCAGTGGCAGCCAAAAATTAAACCAGTTTGGAAATTTGAAAATTACGAAATTTCAAACTACAACAACTGATATCTAATATACAGTGATCAGATACAGGATTTATAAGACTTATAACTTTATAAGATAATAGAATACGTTTTAGAGGAGTTGGATCCTTACGAAACGGGCCAACATTGACGTTGTTAGGTTAGGTAGTTAGCTTTTCTCGTAGCTTCGTAGCTTTACGTTGTGGAAAAGTCCAAGAGTTCCTGAACGGGAAAACAGCTTGGGCTGACTGTGGATCATCTTGAAGCCGCAGTATTTTCATTTTGGTCAGCGGCGAATAGTTTTAGTTACCAGGAACGCATGCTTTTGTATAGTACGTAGAAAGCCCCGTAGAAAGTGTACAAAACGATTGACAACGGAAACGTTAATGAACAAGAAATCAAACCACCGCAAATTGATAATTAACATGGAAAAAAGATATGTAAACACTATTTTGGCGCGGGAATTTAAACATTTTCACTAGCCATGGTCCAAAAAATGTGTCTTCATCGGTACTGCATCTGGTGTTTGGCCCAGACTTGCATTGCTCGAAAGCATGGTTCGCTGTGGGAAGTGAAATGGCAGATGGAAAAGTCTAAGAGTTCCTGAACGGGAAAATATTTAAAGTATTTAAAGGAGAAGTAAAGGAAGTATCAAAAGAGAATCGATCATAGGCGAGAATGGATTGCCAGTCGATCCGCAATGGTTAGGTAAGAAGAAGAAGGACTTAGTTCCAGTATGTACGCTCTTTGGACTATTGAGTAGATCCCTGAGAAAAAAAGAACTTGAAAAAGGACTTATTTTTGCGATCTAATGAATTCTCGCTGCTTCCGAAATTCATAAATGAATCAGCGTATGCTTCTATACAAATGGCTGGAAGGCAACAAGCTGGTGCCATTTTTGAAACACCACCAACTAATCCAGYGGCGATGCGCTCAATATCCAATCCAGAAAATCAAGAAAAGCCATGTAAGAAAAACATGAATGTGTTGCTCGATCTACAGAGTGGATCATTAAAACATATAATATATTATAAATTATCGTCGTCTAGTGCCCCTGTCTTGAGTTCGGCATGAGCCCTTTTGCACTTAGTGTGCGTGGCAGTGAYGTACAAAACTCACTGTGCATGACATTGCAGTATAAACGACTATCAAAGTATAAAAGCAGCCATATTGGAGTGCAAGGGGATTTACTAGGGAATTAAGAGACGCCAATACTAAGAGCTGAGGTTGTGTAATAAGGCATTCGCGTTCAATGGCCTTGCTGCGTCGTGCAAAACCTGAACTCGACAGATCATCCGAACGTTGACTTGAGATCAGAAGACGAATCGAGTGATGTAGAGGATTCTAGACATCTGCATCACTTAGATGAAACCCCCGCATCTGGCAAAAACGTTCCAGTTCCAGGCATCACAGATCCTATTGCCTGTTTCAAAGACTACCTGAACAAGCAACATTCATCTTTGAAGAAGACCTCAGAGACGACGCCATCTCTTCCACAGAATCTGTAGCCAAGAAATTGAAGGAATCCACAGAAATTACCTTTAAGTACGAGGGTAATATACAGCAACAAAAGTTTAATGTGTCACTAGTTGAACACTTAGAAGCAGCCCAGAAAYCTCTAGCTAAAAAGAAATACACACAGGCCCACAGTTCGTTGGACACTTTGGCGAAAGAGATAAAGAAAAGAAATAAACTTATCAGGCTGGCTGACAAATCCCCAGCAGGATGGGATGTGGTAAATGAGTATTTGTCAGACGAGCTTCAGGCAGGAGCGAGGATGAGAAAAAGATCAGTAGGGCCGAGCAAACTGCACAACGAAAGAAGAATCAACTCAAACAAAGAGGCAGAGGCAGATTTCAACCTTACACCTTTAACACAACAAATTCCTACTAGCCAGACTGCGAGTCAGCCACCGAATGAATCAGCACCACCACTCTTACCATCAGCTTTCGGTTACAGACAAGCACAGTTCAATAGGTTTCAGTCCAGAAGGGCCGGTCCAAACGATATCTGCTTTGCCTGCGGGCTGCAAGGGCATTGGAGGGCTGATTGCAGGAAATACCTGGCTAAAAACGCCTCAGTTACTGCTAGTAATCCACCACGTACCGGAGATAATCAGTAACCATCACTAAGGTGTTGCGTATGTAGCTTTGATTATATGATAATGGGTAGTGTTCAGAATTTGGAATTAATTCATTGTGTGAAAGACACGCAGTTTGTTTAAGAAAATGATGAAAAATTTGAATATGAGCGAAATGATAAAACACAAACAAAATATCCAGTTATAGAAGGAGTTTGCTCCTTCTTCGGCAAGCTTTTGTTGTGTGCCGGGGGAGAGACAAGAAAGGAGCTTGAAGATATGGCGGCAAAAGATTTGGAGGCTGGTCCCCTAAATCCATGCCAACAAAAGAACTGTCAACTAGAATTAGATTCTGTCTTGATGGAAGCTCGTTTGCTGTATGACAAACTTAGAAAATGTACTAGTTTCATTCAGCAATTCCTACACCGTAAAAAGGTTACTTTAAAGGAGAACCCCACACTCGATCCATGGCTTACTCAATTAAAAGTTTATTATATACTTATCTTTTCTACAAAGCCTTGACTCCATAGCATCAAGTACAGCAGAGAAATAATTTACGAAAGACACGAAAAATCCGAGCATGGCGGTCGCCATTTTGAATTGCCTTCTGAATGCGCAACATACTACTGGTCAGCAGCGTGTGACGTCACTGCGCGGTCTATCAACTTTCGCGCGAAATTCAACAAAAACACTCTCTACACGGCTTTGTTTACTAATTTTTTCACTCCTCTTTTAAAAATTATGCCTCATTGTATGGTGCCTGGTTGATTCAATGGTTCCAAAATAATACAGGGAAAAGAAATTTCCTTTCACAGAATTCCAAAAGACAAAAAAATTGCAAAAATATGGCTGGAAAAAGTAAGAAGAAAAAATCCACCAAAACGCGAGTCATGCTACGTCTGTAGCGAACACTTCATGCCAGAATGCTTTGAAAAATCATTTAAACATCTGATAGGTCAAAAAGAAAAAAAAATGCTGAAGTCTGAGTCTGTCCCTACTATTTTCAAACACAAAAAA